CAGATTACAGAATGCGTAATTGTCATTTATATTAATGATTATGGATATGAGAGAACAGTGAGATTATGATACATCGACACGCAATATCGGAACCTATGTGATTTTGTGGCTCCACCCACATATGATATTGGATATGTGCCTATGATTTGGATTAAAACATTGGATTACATATGAGATTACCACGATAGTATGCAACAAAGATTGGAGTTGCTGAGACCTGACATAAAATTATAATTTATGATTAGTGCTTATAATGTTGATGATGCAGTACCAGATACCAGACGTGTGACCTCCTGACCCTGAGAGACAATTTGCCATGTTTCATGTGTTTATACTGTGTGTGCTAGTTATTACATTGATAGTTCAGTTCAGGCTATGTTTATTTACATATGGTAATTTATTGGTCATCTTTATACGGATTGTTTAGTTATGGAAATTTAGATTTACTTTATGTAACAATTGCTTTGAGATGATAATTTTGAAGGCCAAATTTACTATGGAATTTACCATGATTTGTTATTGTATTTACCAACTCAATTAAAGTGTCATATTCTTCGTTAATGTTAACAAAAGGGTTTTACTTGAAACTGTTGTCATTTTTATTTCAATTTTGCAATTCATTTATTTCATTGAGAGATTATATTGGCAATTTAAGATGTTTGTGTTTTATATAATTATCAATTGCATGCTATTGTATAATTTGCATTTAAAATGCTGATGGTCTCTATTGAATTGACCGTTTATATATCAAGTTGTACTTTGATACTTTATATTTTGGCAATCTTGGATCAGTAAAATCTTGAGCATTACAGATAGTGGTTGTCAACTAGGATTATTTACATAAAGTATATTCGTCCAAGTTAGGGGAGGTGAGATCTGTCATGATTACAAATGTTAAAATATCATTGTATTTTGATTTTGTTTTTGTATGTATATAGATGTATTTGTCAAATCCGTTACTTTAATATTATTATATTGTTTTGATGTTACTTGAAGATCGAGGACGATCTTATTTTTCATTGGTGGGGGGTGGTGTGACGGATTTGGGTCTTAGGATGTATAATTTCTCAGTTATCTCTGCATTTACATAAAGGCTGAAGGTCTTCATATAATGGTCAAATTTAATTGTCATTTGTCAACCAATCATGTATCAGTATCTAGCCTTAGTTCTGGGTTTCATAGAGGCTGGTGGTCTTTAGACAGTAGGCACACTTCCATTGTATCTTTCAACCAATCACTTAACAGTCTGGTCATCTTCAGTCACCTTGAGTTTTGGTGCAAGCAGTCTTTTACTATGGAATATTCTCAGTACCAACTGCATTCTAACATTTGCTTCAGTCACTTAACCAATCATTGGTCCATAATTTGTCATGGTCAGTTTTAGAGATGTCCTTTAGTCTTTTAGTACTCAAGTTAACCAATCAATGGCTTCAATGTCTTGGTCCCTCTGTACAAGCTGCGCTTGGGGTCTCAGGGGTATATAAGTAAATGTTCACCATCAAGACCTCAGTCTCGCTCCTGGCTCGCTTGGGTAAAGGTCCTCAGCTCTTGTACAGTCTTTATGGATATTTGGACTAGGAATCAATTAATGAATCAATTAAGGAGTTCAGTTTATCAATTAGTCGGATATATATTTGTCACCATCTTGGATATTTACTTAAGTTGCAGGCACTTGGTTGTTTTGGGGTGAGTTATCAATGCATTATTTACAGGTACTTTGAACACATGATTTCTTTGGCATTATTGTGTGAGATAATTGCAAGCTATCAGTCCAGGTATTGTACTTAGATTTAATTAGTATTGAGGTTACAGGAGTTGTACTTGTATGCATTTCCTATTGTTATGTAACATGTTCATGTACCTTTTTACTTATAATTAAACAATATAGTAATGTTGATTATTGTTAACCTCAAACCGAAATGTTTTGTTTGACCTTTATTATCAAATCAGCCCCCACGAAACTGCACAACCCCCAACACAACACCTTTGGGTCGTTACAGTGGCATTAAATTACAAAAACATACATTGCACCTCAAAATGTAAAATATATCAAATAAGGGATATCTTAAAAAAAGGGATATCAAAATTTCCAGTCAACGGTGCCTCTAAAAGAGCTAATTGGTTTTGTTTGGACATTTACTCAATAATGTACAGGGTGTCCCAAAAAGTGTACCCAAATAAAACAGAAATTATGCTTTTGACCATATTTCAAGTTTTGTGTTTATTGGTAGCATGATTGTCAATTCCAATCCAAAAATAGGGTTCACTTCACTGAAAAATATGGAAGAAAACAATGGTGCAGATTTCATAAAGAAGGACAGTGTTTAATAGAGATATCATACATTCAAACCCAAGAAGTCAATAGCAAGATCTTGGTCTAAAATAATACATTTTATTAATTTTATGAAAAAAATCTTTATGAACATTCCTGTATAAATTATACCTTATTATTTAGCTAAACAAACAAAATAATACAAAATGTAAATAGCGTCTCTTGCATGCCTTCGTTTTTGACTGTAAGTCCAATAAGGTCATAACTTGTTTATGTCTTGATTATCAGCTTGATCCAAAATTATGCAATACCTGGTTTGTATAGGGTATAAACATTAATAAGGGGGGGGGGGGGTGATTTCCTTCATGAATTACCAAACACTTTCTTATCTGTTACCTGTCTACCATATGGGTGATTTGGAATATTTAGATAAGAAGTTGACAATTGTAATGTAAATATAAAATTGATAGCCACACCTCCATTTTGTAATAATACAGATGTAAACGTCAGCATGGTTTCTTCATGGCAAGTTAAATAAGTCTGTTTGAATTTGTCTCAAACTATCCAAACATCTAAAGTCAATGTGATATGTAATTCTGATATATTTTATCTATTTAACATAAATACTGTTTTGCTATTTTGTAAAGAGAACTGGTATCTGTTACATACAATACATTGTCAAAGCAATTGGCAAATTTTATACAAATAAAAGCAAGCAAAAATATAAAAAGTTCAAACAAGGGTTTAGATTACAGAACCTTAGGCTTATGTTATTTTACTATGAGCTAATCCAACACAGAAGATATGTATATGAACTTGATGTCATATTTCAGTAGTCATTGTAATTTAAAAAATTCTATCAAAATCAACATAAATATTCTTCTACTTTGGAAATGGACCTTAGATACGGAGATCTATGGAGATTTTTAATTACTTTTAATTTTGATGTTTTTTAGCTTCATGAAAATGCTCTTTTAGTAAGGTCTTCCATACTAAATTATTTTTGAAAAGGAACAAGTGCAGTAAAACCTGTATATCCAAACACTTCTCTAATTCGAACATCTTTCAATGTGAAAACTTTTTCTTAGGCCCAATCTCTTGTTGATTAACATATTAAGAAACCTTGAAATGTGAACACTTACTAATCTGAACACATTGATCGATCCCTATAATGTTCAAATTGACAGTTTTTACCATACTGGTATATAACCTGTACCCAAATTAAGGTATTTATTGATTTGGCCTTCCTTATCGATTACCTTATATCCTGATTATATACAGTATATTGAGGACACAGACAGTCATGAAGCTAAATTTGAAAGGTGAAATGTTAATGAACCCATGTGAAATATGGCCCTTCAGACAAGCAATCGTAGCATTATTTTAAGTAATTGATATACTTGATATTTGATTATAAAACACTATAAATAAGATAAATCACGTTGAGTTTATCAAAAATTGAAATAAAAAAGAATTATATCATGAGACGTGTGATGATGATATGTGCTGGAGTTTTTAGTATTATTCAATTTTTTCTTTTTAAGTAAAAATTTCCTATACAAATGATAAAACCTTGATGCCTGTGAATTCAATAAAATGATACATTCAGTATATAATCTCACTTTACTAAGTATCTCTTTGTATGGAATATATTAATATTTAATTTTGTAATAAAAATATAAAACAAGGGATAGGGTAAAATGTAATTTATTTACATGATGGGGTAAAGATCATGCAATATAATAAGTTACTTATTGGTACGGTAGACAAGGTCACACTACCTTGCAGAAATACACATGTAATGTATATATAAGTACCTACTACACATCTTACATTACATTAGATATATAAGATGGACTTGTGTTGGACCTAAATCATTGGTAACCAATGTGCACAATCTTTTGCAAATACATGTGTTACATTTGGAAAAACCATGCCCAAATGTTTTTGTCAAGCTATATCTTATTCAAACTACAAATCTAAATCTAAAATCTAGCTTGTTCAGTGATCATTTTGAAGAAATTGATAGATATCATACTTAGAAGAACATATTCATCTAAAGTAGAATGTGAATGACAAGTATTAATGAAGTTATAATTTTTCAAGAGATTTTAGAGACCATAAATATGTGTGACAATAAGGTGCATCTGAGTAGCACAGAGACATGGTTGGTTAAGTTTCTGTTCCGTCATCAATCTTTTGATATCTTCCCCTAATGTTATTTTAAACCAATTTATAAGAAAGAAAATAATTTTTTCGTTAGTATATATAAGGGTTATGTACTGGGAGGTTTTGGATATGGGGTTTATCCAGAGGGAGATATGCATATCTACCTGAGGGACCGTAGGGACCGAAGGTAGATGTGCATATCTCACGAGGGATGAACCCAATATCCAAACCGACCGTACATAACTGCTTTATCCTATACCAAGTAGAGTTTTAAGGAGCATATGGCCATTTCAATAGTACAAGGTGTAAAAATAAACAAATCATTCATATGCAAAGTCATTTTATTGCATTACCGGAAGCGGGAAGATATGCACCGGAAGCGGGAAGATATGCACCGAAGCGGGGTATATGGCGGGAGATATGGAGGTTCCGGATATGGAAACCTCAAAATCAGGATACGGGATATATCTTACCAACTTATCTCCCTAAAACTCTACTTGGCATAGGAGAAGATATGATATCCAGATAGAAAATAATTTTATCCAATGTTGGTTTTTAGAATCTCTTGTCCCTGAACCCTCAAGTGAGAAAGTCTGCAGTTGTAAAGTCCTCTGCTTCAACCAAGAAGGACAAGAAACACTGGAAGAGGAATGCAGATAAAGGATGTGGGGTAAGTGATACAGTATTTTCACTTAAGTGGCTGCAGTCAGCATTTGGTGTTCGGAGTTTGGCATTCGGCATCTGTAACAAATGGCAAGTGGTGACATTTTGCATAAAAATGCCTTGTTATATTTTTGATTGATTCTGCCTCCTCTCTTCAAAAAAGAAATTGACAATTAATTTTTCTCTAAAATCTTAAAAATGTAATATCCCAATTACAGAAATACAAAGATATCTATTTATTATTATTTACACAGACCTGTGCCCCATTGGAGAAGAACTTTGATGACATCAAGCACACTACACTAAGTGAGAGGGGAGCCCTCAAGGAGGCAGCAAGATGTTTGAAATGTGTGGATGCACCATGTCAAAAGGGATGCCCAACGCAGCTAGACATCAAAACATTTATCACCAACATCTCAAATAAGGTAACCCAAACAGATTCAAAGAAACTAGAACAAGGCAATGGTACAGTAACTTTAAAGAGACTATATTTAATAAGAAGATGATTCAAACTAAAAATGAGGGCTCCAAATAAGACAAAAGAAACTCAAATAAGACAGTGATCTTTTATGTCACCTCAAATTGTTAAAGCCACCATTTTCTTGGTGGCCAGTGTTCAGCATCAATGTATTCATTTGGCATCAATGTATTCATTCAGTATCTTTGTCTGCTCGTATGGATACACTTTGTAATTGCAACCTGGTGGTGACAGTATGTCATGTTAGCGCCTTGTATCTATTTTATATTCTAGAATTACTATGGAGCTGCCAAAGCTATATTTTCTGATAACCCACTAGGCCTGACATGTGGTATGGTGTGCCCAACCAGTGATCTCTGCGTGGGGGGTTGCAACTTGTACGCATCAGAGGAGGGACCAATTAACATTGGAGGACTGCAGCAGTTTGCTACTGAGGTAAGCACTTTGTCCACTTCCAAAGTGTGCCAATTTTGGCAATTTTGCAAACTGAAGAGCCCCTAAACATTTGTTGAGAAACTTTTTGTGCTCTTTTAGCACAGTTCCACAGCCATTTATTTTGATGTGATGGTCTCACATCATTTGTTTTAAACTTGATAACTGTTAAAATCAAAATTCTGTCATGACTATTTTGTAATTCACCCACAGATTCAAATGAATAAAAAACTCTTCTATTGCATTTTTTATATATATTATTGACATTTCTTTTAAAACTAAATGTTATTGTGGTGACATTAGAGTCAACAAAAGATACATGTATGTATGTACATGTATATTGATTCCAAATAGGAAGTAAATGTTTGAGAAGACTTAAATCTTTGTATTTGTTATATTTTCTGCTTGATTATTGTAGATCTTCCAACAAATGAAAATACCACAAATCCGTGACCCTAATCTGCCAAAACTTGAAGATCTTCCTGATAGCTACAGACAAGAGGTGGCACTCCTGGGCTGTGGTCCCGCCAGTATCAGTTGCGCCACATTTCTAGCCAGATTGGGCTACTCTGATATTACCATATATGAGAAACAGAAATATATTGGAGGTCTAAGGTAAGGGAAACCTTGTCTGTACAATGTAATCCCGAGAACCTCTTGATATTGTTTATTTAATATGTTTTCATGCGTTTGTATTTACACTCATATCAGCTCTGTAGCTTAAGCTAGCTACATATGGAGTCGCCAGCTTGTCATAAAGACATGGTGTCTCTCAAAAGTAACCTGGCAATGATCTCGGAATGAGTCCTTAGTTGCAGCCCTATTTGCAGAAGAACTTTATAACATTGACCCCAAAAGGTTATTCCATATAGTATGATAAAGGGCATACATATTAAATATTTATAGCATTGTATGGTTTGTAATGTTCCCCTTTGTACTTCTAGTTCAGCTGAGATTCCCCAGTTCCGATTGCCGTATGATGTTGTCTCATTTGAAGTTGACATGATGAAAGATTTGGGTGTAAAGGTGAGATAATGTCTTGTTATATTGAGCAATGGCTACTATGAGTCTTTGAAGTGCTTGGAATTACAAAAAGAGTGAGGGATGGTGCTATATGAGGAGAGTTTTGTTATATGGGGAGAGGTAGGGGGAGTAAGTCATAATGGAATTTTTTAATTTTCCCTAACTGTCAACATTTGTACACCATTCCTAATATATTGTAAATCTGACCACATTGGTATCCTGACCAGATGTCCAAAAGATGGCATTCATGGTTGATAGCATTTTCAAAGCTACCAATCAAAATCAACCCAGATTTCTGTACATGTAAATTGGATCATTTTAGGTGGAGTGTGGGAAACCATTGGGTGAAGGAGGTCTCACACTGGAGGCTCTGAAGGACCAAGGTGCAGCTGCTGTATTTGTGGGAATAGGTAATTATGTGATGTAATTAGTTTATTTACAAGCTATTGTTTATAAATACCAGGCAATATGTAAAAATGATAAAGTGGCACAATCTTTAAGTCCACATAAGCTTACATAATATAATCTAATATCACTTTAATCTGATCCTAGGTCTAAATTTAAATTGAATTTTCATTTGGATTCACATTGTCACTTAAAATGTTGTATCTTTACCGGAAAGCCTCATTCCTTGAATAAAGGGAGGGATGCTAAATGTATATTAACTAACTTTGAAAAGGGTCATTCATATTTTATAATCAATAGGTTTACCTGATCCCAAGAAGATTCCATTGTTCAAGGACCTCACTGGTGACATGGGATTCTTCACTTCAAAAGAATTCCTGCCCAAAGTTGCTGCTGCTAGTAAACCAGGTAAGAAAATAGAAGGATGTGATCCTTTTGCATGAAATCATTGTTATGCAAAGGGAGTAGACAATAAGAAGAGGCATGGGGTTGACACCTGGAACTCTGTGCAAAGGAGGAATGAGTTGTGGCATTCACATTTGAAATTGTGTCCGAGCACAGAGACAACTGATACTTAAGACAGCTATGAAGAAGAATGGGTAGTGCATTAAATAAGAATGGTTTATTCTGCATAATAGTTTACTTTTTGCCTTTATTTTGATTGTTCTATTATACATGTATAAGTTAGATTAAATTCTCAATATGCATATTATGATTGAAAAGTAACGATGAAGTAATAATTGTATTGTAATGATACTTGCTCATTCTCTCATGTGGCACTGTAGGTATGTGTGCTTGTAAGAGCCAACTTCCACAGTTATATGGCAATGTGATTGTGCTTGGTGCTGGAGACACAGCGTTTGATTGTGCAACCTCAGCACTGCGTTGTGGCGCAAAGAGAGTGTTCATTGTGTTTAGGAAGGGATTCACAAACATCAGGGCAGTACCAGAAGAGGTAAAGTCATTTATACATATACATATACATGTTCTATAATATAGTAAAGCCGCCGCTTGGACCTTTAGGATGTTCATAGTTAAACAGGTCTTAGTGTACATGCTAAAATTGTTGTTGAAAGGATCTGAATCACCCCTAAATCAAGATCTGAATCACCCCTAAATCAAGTTTAAATACTAGTATTTGATTAATAAGCCCTAGAAAACTGTTCATTAATATACTTGAGGGTTATATATTGGTCAAGGTGTAGGCATTTGAATTTTGAAATGACATGGAGTTCTGAGAACAGATTTGTTGGCCCTAAATTTAGGGCATTATTAGTCTCCATTTGTTGAATAGGTTTGTATACTTAACATTTTGATTACAGATGGAACTTGCAAGGGAAGAAAAATGTGAATTTCTGCCATTTTTGGCTCCCCGTCAGATTGTAGTTAAAGAGGGCAGAATTAAAGCCATGGAGTTTACACGTACAGAACAGAATGATGATGGAGACTGGATAGAGGATGACGATCAAACATTGCGTCTAAAAGCTGACTTTATTCTATCAGCATTCGGCTCAGGGTTAAATGATGAAACTGGTACGTAATTTTTTTTTTGAAATAAAGTTTTAATTAATAGGCAGTAAAATATGTTTTAAATGGAAAAGAATTAAATATGTGAAGAATTTTAGTACACCAATGAAAATTACGTCAGATTAATTAAGATGTGAACAATCGTTTATTTTTTTCAACAATTGTTTTGCAGTAAAGAATGCATTGAAGCCAATCAAGATGAACAGGTGGGGCCTGCCAGAGGTGAATACAGAGTTGATGCAGTCCAGTGAGCCATGGGTGTTCTGCGGGGGTGACATTGCAGGTGTCGCACAAACAACAGTAGAATCTGTAAATGACGGCAAGCAAGCAGCCTGGCACATGCATAAATACTTACAAGTAAGATTTTTAAAACTATGAGAATGAAATATATCATCAGAAAAGGGGATGCTTTCCTGCCCAATTGAAAAAAGCCTATGGAAAATCATCTCCAATTATCACCTAACTTACTATTGATAATTAGTTGAAAGTTAGGTGTAAAAATTCACATGCAAATGAGCTAATTATCAACTTAATTAACGCTTAATTTGCAACTTAATTAACGATTAACTACCATCAATATGCAAATGAGCTATTACGTAAATTAGTTGAAAGTTAGTTGTAAGTTTGATGTAAGTTAATCTCTAATTATCACCTAACTTACTATTGATAATTAGTTGAAAGTTAGGTTTAAGTCAGATTCGTGACATCTCAAAAATGAATCGCTTCTTTTTTGCTTCCCTTCACTCGGAGATTTTTGCTTCATCTTGAACTATTTTGTGACGGAATATTCATCTAAATTAGGATCTTTCAGAACAGACAACATTGAATTTGAACTATTGAAATTTCACAGCAAGAGGAGGGAAAACCCCATGATTCAATTGATGACATAAGATTTCCTCCTTCGCACACCTCCTTTTGTCGAAAACGTACCCTCCATCTTGGTTTTTAAAGTTTTCAAATTGACCTAGATTTAAACCAATCGACGATCGACTCACTAAACCAATCAGCGACGATGTCATCTCAATACAGATTTACATTATAAGCGTATGTCATCTTTGAACCCTAGGGTTTCTCCCCCTCTTTTTTAATTCCATTTTGCAAATTTTTAAGATTCATGAAAAGCATGTGAAAACATCATTATTGCCATCAACAACTAAAATCAGAACACAAACATTAGACTATAATGTTACATAATAAGGATGTAACATATATAATTAAAAATATGTTTTGAAATGTCTTTGATCTAACAATCATTATTTAGAAGAGCACATTTGGATTACTTGTGAAATATAGGTAACCCATGTTAGTACCTAAATTGCATTCTAGGATTAATATTATATGATCTGATTCAAAAAGATTTTTAAATTCATAAACATTTCAGACAGAAGTGTGAATAAGATTTAACATACATTGTATTCATGTTCTACATACCCTTATAATAATGTTGACCAAATTTCATGGTAGTATACGCACCATTCACGTTGTAATTCTCAATTTTATGAGAGAAATATCTCTCACATGTTTTCTTTTTCCACCATCTTGAAATTAAATTTAGGGGGTTTGTATTTCTAAATCATGGGCCTAATTTACGACTAATTATCATTATAATCATCCTATATGTTAACTATCAACCAATAATCTACTTCAGAACAAAAACGTTTTAATTTACCACTTACTATCACCCTCAAACATTTCATATCTTAATTATCAACTAAAAATCATAAATCAGCATTATTGTAAGTTAATTTACGTTGAACTTGCTACTGCTAATTAGGCCATAATTATCATTGATTTAATTAACGCTTAACTTTAATTCCGATTGCCAGCAGAATTGTTGATAATTAGTTGTAAATTAGTTGGTAATAAGTTGGTAATTAGTTTTATTTTTCAATTGGGTGGTTCCTTCCCTGAGCTGAATTCATATAGTTTACTTAACCAAGTCGAACAATTTTCAGGAAAGCTACATTTTCAGTGAACTTCACATACAGTACATCCATCCAAATCACTATTTAACCAATAACTATCACTGGCGGATCTGGGGGCCCAACCCCCCCCCCCCCCCTTTGGGTGGGCCCAGAAAAAGAATTGGGCTCAAAAAGATTTTTGAGCCAAAAAGGCATTTTTGGTCATGAATGGGCCTTCTAAGACCTTTTTTTTAATTTTAGGCCAAATTTTGAAGAAAATGGGCCTCAAAATTTGGGCCTACTTTTTGGTTTTAGGGGCCCAAAATTTGTTGCACGGAAATTTTTTTCTTAGACCAGAAGTTTGGGCCCCCCTTGTTGGTTCCCAGATCCGCCCCTGACTATGGCATACATTTTATTTGAAATGACCAAAAAAAAACTTAACATTGATATTGATGTTCACTTATTGCAGTCTCTTGCCAAGATTGAGGTACCATCTAAGCCCAACCTACCCAACTTCTACACTCCAATAGATGAAGTAGACATCAGTATAGAGATGTGTGGCTTGAAATTTGAGAACCCATTTGGTCTTGCAAGTGCCACGCCCACAACAAGCAGTGCTATGATTCGCCGAGCATTCATACAAGGCTGGGGATTCGCATTGACCAAAACATTTGCATTAGATAAGGTAAAATGGGGATTATTATGTTATCATTATGGGTTACAACTATTTTAATCATAGCCACAAAATGCAAACTAAAATTCTTTTGATAAAATTCACATATGAAACGCCAATGTCAAAAGAAATAGATCGTTCAGATAAATCCTGCCACCTTTTGATAAATTGGTGAAATTTATGATGTCATTGGTTGTAGCATGAGCTTGAAAGCCCATGGTTGTAAGTAATAATCTGACCATGCAAAAACAAGATTACCTTATTGCTAATTTTAAAAAATACAACCTGTGACGTCATCAAGCTAGCCAATATATATCAAAAATTCTCTGATATATCATAAGGTGGCAGAATTTATAGGAAAAATCCATTGGAGGAAAATAAAATGTAATAGAACATGTACATGAAATAAATGGACAACTTTGAATGTGTGGTTGCTCCAAGAACACAATTAAATAGTTCATAAATTGTTTTAGTCCAGCAAATGTTAATCAAGCCAAATGAGTCACATACATAAGACTACATACATATACTAGATAGCTAGGATTTTTATTGCAGGACATTGTCACAAATGTGTCACCCCGTATTGTGAAGGGAACAACTAGTGGTAACTTATATGGTCCAGGCCAGGGCAGTTTCCTTAACATAGAGCTGATCAGTGAGAAAACTGCTGAGTACTGGTGTAACAGCATCACTGAACTCAAGCAAGATTTCCCAAACAAGGTCAGTAAGGGTTTTTAAGGACTCATAAATTTTCTGATTCTGTTCACTGCTTCACACTTCATGAAATCAGAAACTTTGGAAGTTGCCGCAAATAGAAAAATCTTGTAGAACCTCTCCCACTAATTAATTTGAATAGATAATAAGCAGATATTGTGTTAACTCTTGCATTAGCTCAATATTTGTTTTGTGAAAACTTTGTTACTGTAATTTTGCCATGGATTTTTTTATTTTACTCAAATTGTGCTTCATCTAGCTTTACCCGTGATCTATTTATTTCAGGTACTGATTGCTAGTATCATGTCAAGCTACAATGAGGATGATTGGACTGTACTGGCTAAAATGGCTGAGGTAGGAACTACAACTTTTAACATTACAAATTAATATCCCTAATTTGTTATATGTGTGCCATATCCTAATTTTACTTTTTTGTGGTTTCAATAGATTTTCAATATTTTAGCCTTTCTATGTGGTGGCATTGAGATGCAATGTTTAGTTGTTCTACTGCTGGAAGATGCTCTCAGTTAGTGTAAAGTATGTGATGACTTGTCGTACAAATGGAAATGTGTCTCTCTGCATGTAGAGTATATATCATCACTCAGACATCAATGCCATTAAGGCAGGATTTAAAATTTTAAACAAATGCATATTTATAAACCCGATTGATTTCTTCAATTTAATTGAGTCTGAAGCAAAATGACATGGTTGTAAGTACAGTATATGCATCAGTAATATTGTATACAGCCTCAATCCTAATGCTCCTTATCATGGGTGTTGCATTGTCATTTTAGGCTGCTGGTGCAGATGCCTTGGAGTTGAACTTGTCTTGTCCCCATGGTATGGGAGAGAGAGGCATGGGGCTAGCATGTGGCCAGGTATGTGGCTTTTAGTGATATACAAGTTGTGATATGCCAGTTGTCTTTGGTACAAGTTGACTAGGAAGCATTCAAAATATAAGTTCAACATGCTCAGGTTTTAAAAATATTTTGTTCTTTCGAGGAGAATATCCATGGAAGTTCTACAGGTAATATTCTTTGAATACTTGGGATCCTTAAATTACTCTCCTGATGTACATATCTAGTGTGCATCAAGCCATTGAGTGGAAATTGAACTTTTAAAACTCTATCTTATTCCTGGTAGCAATGAGAGCAAGGGAGGGGAAATGCTCATGAAGTCATTATATCGATGAAAACCATATCCTATAAAAAAAATATGTGAACAGTTGAAATGTTTCTAGGATCCAGAGATGGTACGTAACATCTGCCTCTGGGTGCGTGCAGCCGTCAAGATTCCATTCTTTGCCAAGCTCACCCCCAATGTCACCAGTGTTGTTGTTATAGCAAAGGCTGCATATGAAGGTAAATCATTGGCTTTTGTTCTGTGTTATCACAAAATTGTTTGTCATTCGTAATATCAACTGTATTGAAGACCAAATAATCTATGATGTTCTTCAAGACTGATGCATACTGTAATGTAATGTTAAAGCAGTGCAACAAAACATAATATGATATCACAAGAAGTTCTACATGATTGCATTAATTCATTTGGTTGATCTATCCCTAGCATTTGAGGATACAAGCTCTAGATAAACATTATGTTTGAGCAACATTTATCCTTTCTCAATATCTTTCTTACGTGATAATTTCTAGGAAAAGCTGATGGTGTGACAGCTACTAACACAGTATCAGGTCTGATGGGACTGAGGGCAAATGCTACAGCCTGGCCAAGTGTTGGAAAGAAACACCGTACAACATATGGAGGTGTCTCTGGCAATGCAATTAGACCTATAGCTCTCAGGGCGGTCTCTGCCATAGGTAACAACTTTAGCAGTATGGCCATGGACTTTCAATTAGAGTTGAAAGCCCATGGTATGGCTAATGCTGATTTATAAGATCATATTTTACAGAGTAGATGAAGAACTTGTATGAATGAGATCTTATTCTTCGTACTGACATTACTTAGTTTGTACAGTTTTGGCATTAAGATTCCATAAAAATGCTTCAAATGCCAAGCTATTCCTTTATCATTATGAATAGTACTGGCTTGTGCAGCATACATTCTTTTCATATTTTCTTTGTTTGAAGTTATTATGGTAGGTTCACTCATTATATCAAAATGTCTTTGTTTATTACATGTTTATATAATTTTGTGTATGTGTATAATTGATGTCATGATACAATGTGAATTGTGAATAGAAGGAATTTTAAACTCTCCTGTGTTATATTTCAGGAAATGCAATCCCAGGATTCCCAATCCTGGCCACAGGAGGTATAGACAGTGCCGATGCAGGACTACAGTTCCTGCTGGGTGGTGCTAGTGTGCTGCAGGTAATACTTACAAGCATTCTTTTAAGTGTTTTTGGCTCACACAGTGAGCCTATGGGATTGACCAGGCGTCCGTCCGTCCGTTGGTCCGTCCGTCCGTCCGTCCGTCCGTTGGTCCATCCGTCCGTCCGTTGGTCTGTCCGTCCGTCCGTCAACATTGGCCGCACAAATTAAAACTGCTATTCGGATTGAGTCATATCCACAGTCATTTTATGCATATCCATAATGCCTATTTGACCTATCATCGCCATTTCCCAAGTTCGCCCGGTTTCCGAGAAATTGCGGATTTTGACGTCAAAAAGTCAAATTTTCTGTAAATACTAGACACTTTGTTAAAGTAGAACTTTCAAATAACTTTTAGTAGTTGGTGTATATGCAACTTATGTCCTCTGAAGATTTCAAAGCTCTTGGAATAACGGTTTTTGGTGTTTACTCCATAAAATTTGAAAAAAAGTAGGACTTAGTCATTTTTAGGAAACTTTCTCATGTATAAAGTCAATGGCAGGTTTTGTGATTGACAAGATTCTTAAAGTTTGCCTTATACTTGATCATTTCCTGCAATAAATTACATCATTAATAGATTTAAGCATTCCCTACATTTTTCTCAATATATGTCAGCATCAAATTTTTACCGTTTTTGAGATATTTGACGTCAAAAAACAGTAAAAATAAGTTATTTTTCAACTTGCTTCAATTTGACCAAATTTTTTTTTGAAAATCATCTACAAGTTGCCAGGAGTTCAAATCTGACATTAGGTTTAGGATTTGACCTTTACTTCACCTTCAGTGACCTTCGAAAGGTCAAAAAAGTTGATTTTTCAAATTGATTTTTGGATGTAAATTTTGGTCAGCTTAATCACAAAAGACCTTACTGAGCTCTGAATAAGTAAAATTTTCAAGGTCAAAGCTAGGTCATCAAACTAGGTCACACAACTATGCTATCTAAGTTTCTCAAAGTTCGAGACTACAAATCCAAATCAATATTTTTGTTTGAAAGTCAGGATATAAATTCCTCTGAAGGTTCCAAACTGTGTGAGCATAGGACCGTGGGTCCTTCATTTTCCAGTACGATGGAAATAGAAAGTGCAAATTAGTTATTCAACATGTTATTTATTACTCAGTGCTAGATGTATCAACATTTAATTTTAAATTATACCTAGGAAGAGTTCATTTTTGTTGTTTAGGTATGTAGTGCTGTACAGAACCAAGACTTCACAGTGGTGGAGGACTATATACTAGGCCTGAAGTCACTTCTGTATCTACAGTCCCTGGGCCTAGAGGGCTGGGATGGCCAGAGTCCTCCTACACCCAGACATCAGCTTGGAAAACCTGTTCCTAAACTACAGGATGTTGTAGGAAAGGTATGGGTGAAAAATCTTGTGAACAGTACTTGCATTGAATTGATACCATGATAATATGACTAGTCTAGTGTGTGATAGTACAACGTTACATTTGATGAATATACTACATATTAAAAATAAATGTAGTTATAGAATGTGCAACTTGTCGTAGAAGATTATTTTATTTACTGACCACACTGTCATGCAGTTTTTATCAGTACTATTAATTTTGTTATTTTCATGTTATTCAGTATTGATAAATATTAATTTTGATTATTAAGAACCTACCAAACTTTGGGGAGTATCAATCAGAGAGGACAGAAGTGATATCAAACCAGAAGAAAGATTCAGACCTGTTAGCCAAAACACCAGCACCAAGGGCCTTGATTCTGCCTCAGACACCAGTCCCCTCTGTTAAGGTAAAAGACTTGTGTAAACGTCTATGTACATAAATGTTCCAGAGATGTGATGTGCTCTCTTGAAATGCTATTAAAAAGTGATTAAAAACCATTAGAAGTGTTTTGATTTTTCAATCAAATCAATATTTTTAAACGTAACAAAATATTATTGATTAATCTATCAGGAGGTCAAATTACAGATGCAGATATTTCCACCATTCCACCATTACATGTTTGATACTTGCAGTAAAACCAGTCTTTTGGAATACCTTTTTTCCTAGTGAATATTTGTCCCAAATGAACACCATTTTTTGGAGCATATTTTACTTGTTTGTCGTACGGTACTTGTTTGTTAAACACTGTACTTGTATTATTTCCCAGGATATGGTTGGCAGAGCTCTATCTATGATCACATCCTATGGGGAGCTGAACAACCAGGAGCAAGTTGTGGCGCTGATAGATGAGGTACATTAAAACTTTGCCCATTTACACTAAAGTAGCCTTTACTCATATTTTACCTCCATCTTCCCTTCCATTGTTGTATTAATGCACAAAACATGAACAGTTGTCTAGGCAGTTCAGATCCTTTCAAGAAAATAATCTGTTTCATGAGGTTTGTCAAAATTTTTAATTGAACACTGCAAGAAATTCTTACGCCTGATTGTGATTATTTTCTGTTTGAATTTTCAATATGAGGACCTACAGACCTATCTCTGGATGTTCTGTTTCAATCAACTTTTAAGATCAAAAAGTTGTCTTAAAAGTGCAATGTTTTAAATTTCTAGCTTTTACTTTTAACATTTAGTTCTACTTGTGTTTCAGGAAATGTGCATCAACTGTGGCAAATGCTATATGACGTGTAATGATTCAGGGTACCAGGCTATAACCTTTGATCCTGAGACACATCTACCCAAAGTCAATGATGATTGTACAGGTAAATAATATATGTTTGTGTTTATAATGGGGGAGGGGGTGCAGAAAGAAGATGAGATTGGGAAGTCTCTAATATGAAGGGGAAAAGTGTTGATATTTGGAATCATGATCCGATACTCCACATGACTTGAAAAAATTATTTCACTACCAATTAAGAGGGCAGTGACAGTAACATGCATGTCATTACAAATCTACATTGTTAACTTGTTAAGTAGTCCATCTGTTCTTGGCCTCCAAATTCAAAATCCCAATTTGCGTTATATGCCATAGGTGTATTTATTAGGCCAAAATGAGACGCATCCACTTCCTGATTATTTGTTTGGTGGGATTTGCTTCTCTGTGGCGTTGCTGTTTTCTAGTACATGTATAATAGGCTATAAGCAGAAGATTTAAATATGAGTGAATTGCATTCTTGTTTTACTTTTCAGGATGTACTCTATGTCTGTCTGTATGTCCTATCATTGACTGCATCAAAATGGTGGAGCGCAAGACACCATACATACCGCGACGTGGAATCCCACTACGAAACACCATGCCAGAAACTATAACTGTGTGCCAGTAGATGAAGGTTCTAACAAAATACTATAGTAACTAGAGACAGTCAATTCTAAACATGATTTTATATTAGATGATGTTAAATGAAAATGAATTATTTTGAATTTTTGGGTAAGATGTAATAACTGTTAAGTTTTTTTAAGTGTATCAAGTGCCAAATTAGGGATACCATATAGCAACCAGTCTTTGGTATAATATAAACACATGCTTTATGTATATGAAAGTTTCACTCCATAATCTATAACAATCGCAGTGGAAATTTTAGCAAGTGCCAAATCAGGGAACAAAACAGCTTACATTGTACATGTATACTTATTATGTTTGGTAAGTTTTATACATATGATGTACATAAGGTATTTTTGATGCTTATGCTCAATATACAATTAGGAACATAAACATTTTCCCACCATAATGAATGATGCAATTGGAATTTTAGCAAGTGCCAAATCAGAGAAGTCTATGTGTTTAGAAATATTTTTAATACGTGCATAAAATTATATTTTTATGCTTTAAAACAATATGCAAATATGACCTTTAAAGGGCTTTTGTACTATACTGTGAAATAAGTGCAAATGAGATTTTTTTAGAATAGCGTGTGCCAAATCAGCATGGTTTACATGTACATGTACTTTATATGGTGCTTAATGATATTTGATAATAACATGGACATGATTGTGCATAAGAATATACAATTTTCATGCTTTATAACAATATGTAATTTTAAGCTTTAAAGAGAGTTCTATTCAATCCTAAATATGGCCAAAAATATGATGACGGGATCAACTTATATGATCGAGATTATGAGTCAAATTTTACATATACAGTATTATTAATTGACAAATTTATGGCACCCTTTTGGTTGCCGAGGATAAAATATTTTTTATCAATACAACAATCCAATAGGAAGCTTCTTATCATAACTGATACTGTAAAACTAGAAATTTTTTGCATTTTAGATATTTTGTGAGTTTTCATGAATTCACTATTTTTGCAAAATTAAATCTGGTTAACTCACTTATATGTGAAAATAAATAGCACCCTTTTTGTGAATTTAATATTGGCATGAATCAGTCAATCTGTCCAATGGAGGTATTGATCGAGTGCCATTGAAGAACTGTTGATACAATTATTTTCATTATTAAAATTATCAAATTATTGGAAAATTGCATAAATGAATCACACAAAATTTTGAAAACTTTGTTAAATTAATTGCACAAAAATTCTAGTTGTACAGTAGTTGATTTATCCTGTTTTTCACAATTATAATATATGAATTCGACAATGATTTGTATTAATTTAGTTGATGTAATCTAGAATATCAGAGTGATAGCTTAGCCTGGAGTAGTTAAGTAGAAATGTTTTGATAAATCTATATTTATACTTAGATGTGCAAAATATAATCATTATATTTCATGTACTGAATAATCTGTCACGGCAGCTTTTCTGTCAAAAGAAGTTCTGGTTTGTTTTCAAAATTAAAAAGATATTCAGAGATTTGGTTATTATTTGTATGAACGTGCTTTTTTCTACTAAATTCATACTTGTTTTTGGAAAAACAATTTTGTGGTCCATTTTGCGAGTTCATAGCAGAATAAACAGAAACTTGAATATCCATTAAATTTCAAACCTGCATTATTGTATCAATCAAATGAGATGTATAAAGTAAGTACAAATGTATATGAGTGTGTGATACATTGGCTTTACTTTGAGGACATCATGTAAGAGTACAGCATATCTGTCACCATGGCAATTATTGGCAATAATAATTTCAATGATTTTAATCGTTTTCATTTTGGTGCCTATTTCAGTATTTGTATTTACAGTAAATTAGGTTTGTTAGTTCTATCATAATAAATATTATATCTGAATCTAAACATGTGCTCTTGAATTTTTATGAATAAAAAACATTGATATCAATGTATTTGATTTGACAATATTCTAGGTATACTAAGGTAGCCACACTACACTCTTGCTCAATAGCAGGCTATCAAAGTGACTGTCAAAAGAATATCAAAAAAGCCTCACTTTCATAATGTGTAGCTTGCCTCCAAAAGCTGGATCCTTTTTATTTCTTGGATAAAATAGAAATTGTTGTGTGTACTAATTACCATAGGTGAAACCAGAGTGAGTCTGATATGAGTAAACACCCCAACTGGGTCATTAATTGGAGAAATACATAGAGAATATTTGATGGGAGGTTTTTGATATGGGATGAGGGAAATACAATATATCAATCCAAGGGACAGTAGGGACTGAGGGTTTATATATTGTATTTACCAAGGGATATACCCTGTATCAAAGATCGAGCATTTAATAACTGATTTATACTAGTTAGTAGATTATGAGGGTAGTCAAATCACCTGGCTCAGTATCTGAGTATCTACTCTCTGAATTTGTGACGTCGTAATCGTCATGACTGATAAGCGGGTGATATCATCGGGTGATATATCACCCGCTCACTTCAGATATCAATTATATTCCTGCATGTTATTTACCTATAAAACTGCTAAGTATGGAATAAAATAGAGTACCTCCTTACCGGTATTAAAGAGGGATTACACATTATTTAAAATGCAGAACTGACAAAAGGAAAAGAATTTATATGTAGGCATTGTTGTTATATGAAGTGCAATTAAACTTTTCTCCTAAATCGATGACTTTTAAATGTTTTTGCTGGAAATTACAGGGTGTCCAATAAATAAGGTGAAAGATATTGTAACTTTCTTAATATTGCACCAATCTTGATGAAATTTTCAGAGTTTGTAGCCCAAACCCTTTTACCTTTATTCTGTGAATTTAAAGCGTCTTCTATTTGATTGGCCAGAGTTGTGGTTGTATAGCAACCGAAACAACAAAAAGGCGGGGCAAGTTTGTTTACGTCACAACTTTCAAAACATATTTATTCTTTCTGGTAGCTTTATTCATACTCCCAGGTCTATTACTACCACAAATACAATATAAAAACAGTCCTAAAGTCCCATTGTTATGAAAATAAGCTATTCAACATAATTTCCATCTCTAGCTATACACTTCTTATGCCTATTCACCCACTCTCTAAACACACTTTCAAACCCATTCTTGCCCATTTCCTTAGGTCTTGCTAAGACATGCGATCTGAGTTCACACACAGCTATGATCACTAGTGAAACTATTAGGGCATTGGGGTTTCCCCTACTTGCACACCCTCCATATTCCCCAGACCTTGCACCCAATTACTTTTACTTATATGCATAACTCAAGCGTGACTTGAGAGGTAATACATTTGGAAGCACTGATGGACTCAGATCACATGTTTTGGCAAGACTTCAGGAAATGGACAAGAATGGGTTTGAAAGTGTGTTTAGAGCAGGCCCGTAGCCAGGGGGGGGGGGCTCTGGGGGCTCATACGAGCCCCCCCCCCTGATATCTCTTAAAAAAATGTGGACCTACCTTTTTGCTTCCTTGAAGACTGGGCAATTAAGATTATAAAACTGGCATTACTGTGCATTGATTTTCGAATTTGGGAATTATTTTTCAAAATTTTGCCCAATTTTTTTCGCTGTGTCCCTTTACCTCTGATTTTTTAGGATCATCCTTTGTGTTTTGTTAAACATAGCCTTCTGGCGGTTCCAGGGGGGAGCCCCCCCCCCCTATGATAGGCTCGGAAAAAAATGTTGGCCCAAAAATATTGTAGGGCCTCTTTAATGGGCCTTTTTGGGCATTATTTGACCTTTTTTGGGCCTTATTTTTTTCAATTTCAGGCCAAATCTTCAAAAACAGGCTATACATTTTCAGAATTTTGGCCCGAATTTTATTTTGTTTTCAGATTAAAATATTCTGCAAGCGGTCCTAGGATGGGCCCAGAAAAAATGTTCGCCAAAATATTGTAGGGCCTCTTTAGTTGGCCTTTATTTGACCTTTTTACTTGACCTTTTTGGGCCTTATTTTTTTTTAATTTTAGGCTAAATTTTCAAAAAATGGGCCATTCTTCAAAATTTAAGCCCAAATTTTGTTTCTAAAGCCCTAAAAGGTTTTAAGCGCAGCCATAGGATGGGCCCAGAAAAAAAGTTGGTCCAAAAATTTTGTAGGGCGTCTTTAGTTGGCCTTTACTTGACCTTTTTACTAGACCTTTTTAGGCCTTATTTTTTTTAATTTTGGGCCAAATTTTCAAAAAACGGGCCATAAATTTTCAGAATTTTGGTTCTGAGGCCCTAAAAGTTTTTTTGCACGGCCTCTTAAGTGGGTCTTTTTGGGCATTACTTGACCTTTTTGGGCCATATTTTTTTTCAATGTTAGGCCAAATTTTCAAAATTCGTGCCATAGATTTTCAAAATTTTGACCCAGGGGCTTAGTTTGTCATGGGGAATTTTTTTTTGCCGGGGGGGGGGGGGTTTCGGGGCTACGGGCATGTAGAGAGTGGCTGAATAGGCATAAGAACTGTATAGCTAGAGATGGACATTATGTTGAATAGCTTATTTTCATAACAATGGGACTTTCAGACTGTTTTTATATTGTATTTGTGGTAGTTTCACCTTATTTATTGGACACCCTGTACTTGTCTCCTTAGCCATTTTAACATGCATTGATATTAGCTTTGAAAACCCACTCTCATATTTTTGACCTAAAATAGTAATTTATTGTAATTATACTTCTTTAAGATTCAGCCACATTACGCATAATTTCAATGGGTATAAATCCTTTAAATGTAACCAAAATTATGAACAAGCAAATATTTTCAAAAATATTTTATTGCATTTTTAAATCCAAGATACAAATACAAGAAACACTTGAGTTGGACCCTTTTAAATGTCAAGATCCCCACATAATTCCAAGTCCAAGAGTATTTCACCTCATTGGAAGATAGAAAGAGATTAATGATCTACAAATTCAATATCAACACCAATGGACATGAAAATGGTTATTATTTTGCGACTAAAATGACACATATTCCACAAAATTGTACAACTGGGTTACTCTAGATTTTTTTAAACATAAAACATTGAACACCACAAATGACATGAGTTGACACAGTTACACATTCAAATTCAAAGATGATTTGTATTCAAGTTTGACTCTTATCAGCATATTAGAGGATATCATCATACTGTATGTAATTTTGAGTCTATTTTTATTACATTATTAATGAAAATTATCATATGGAATATCTCTATTGTAATGAAAATGTCAACTTGATATTCAGGGGGTCATTAACAGAACTTTCGCAAAGTTACGAATTCGCAAGTCAATTGTTAATTTTATGAATTTGGTAAATGTGCATTAACAGAACTTTCGTAAACTTACGAACAATTCGCAAAGTTACGAAAAAATGACGTCACGTATGCTTTCGTTCGTAACTTTAATAGCACCTCAGACCCTTTCATAACTTTGCGAATGGCATATTTCTCATACAGTTCTTATGTAAGGTATACAGGTTGGCAAAAAGAAATTGTTCTTTATATGCCTGCTAAGTTTCAAGCTAAAATATCCACCTATTCTTACATAATAAGCAAATATGTTCCTGAGCTGGGAATCTTTGAAATCGCGGAGACAGGTTTAATCACAGCGCGCAATGATATCAAATGATATCATATTTCTATTTGTGCTAAATAATGATAAATGATGACGTCACAATTTGAAATTCGTTTACGAACGATAAAACTTATGAATGACTTATGAAAGTGTTCTGTTAATGGCCAATTCGTAGCTTTACGAATTCGTAAGTCATTCGTAACTTTTTAAATATTTACGAATTTCATAAAGTTACGAATAACGAATTCGTAACTTTGCGAAAGTTCTGTTAATGACCCCCAGGTGAATAAAATGTACCTTACCAAAAATATGTACAAAACATTTGCAATCATGCAATGAAAACACCAGCAAAAAGACACTGTTGTTTATTGGGTCTTCTTAACTTTTGAACAGAAACAGTTTTATGTCCTGTATGACTAAAATACATGTACTTCAAAATATTCTCAAATACCTAACACATATGTCTACTCCCTAATCATTGGTTCTCAATCTCAATGCACATAAAGCTATTCAGTAAAGATTAGTAGCGTTATGATGAAATGAGATTATGTAACAAAAATGGCATTCTGTTAATACGACGTGTTTTGTCAGATACACTAGTGCTATAATAATACTGTCTTCAAAGTACCAGTTTTTTCTCCATTGATTTGAGATCTAAAATGATGGCACCATCTCTTTTAAATAGTGGAGAATATGTACTTCTTGTTGATGTATTAGTGGTTTCAGTTTGGCTTATAAAATCATTACTATTTGTCTACTTAGATGTGAAATACATTTTAAAGCATGTATGCAAGAGTCCAGTGCATTTAAATTAAGGATCCTAAAATACATTGAAATATCAATGCTTTGGTTTTTAATGAGTATTGGAGATCAAGTATACTTTTAATTGGACCGTGGACCTTATTTATGTTGCAATGTCCATTTTATTCAATTTTTGCTAAATCATTCTATTTTGCATTTAAGAATTTTGTTGTCATGGCATTTTCTCATAAGTAAAAGATGGTCCATGCTATGGTAGTACTGTATCATTATCTAATTGTTAATATCGAGATGAATCTCAACTCACTGGATTATTTATCATGTTTAATCAGTCTTATGCAAAGACTCATAAATAACTTAAACTGATATGATTCACAATTGAACTAAAAGTATTTTCTTGACATTGTCCGTATGACTGTTTCTTCAGATTCTATGTAAACTCCAAATGTGTTCCCAGCTCACGTACATATCAACTCCTTATTTCATCTACTTTGGAGGCACTAGCGATTTAGCAAAGAGGGCAGCAAGAGCTGCGTCCACATTGCCCCCAGATTTCCTAAGTTCCTCGACCACTTGTTCCCGGGGGAAACCATACTGCATGAGAGTTCCTATCTGAGACTCTGGTATAGATGTCACTCCTGGTGTAGATTGGCTTGAAGCACTTGATTGACCTGCCGTGCTAGCTGTTCCTGGAATTATGGATCATAAACTGGTTAGTGATATAATAGTTCAAATAAAATATTCATAAAAGTATGATTTTCTTATTATGTTTTCATGTAACTTTAACATTTGTTTGAAAAAAAGCCTCTTATACTTCATGTACTTTGATGGTGATTAAAAGTTTACTTTCATGCATACAGTGCTATGTATTACACAAATAATAACTTTGCTAAAAGTAGAATTCTCAGGTATTTTTGCCCCACTCCCCAGAAATGTCTGTTAAGATACCTGAGTCTTCTGCTGACTTGGCAAGAGCCTGAGCAAGCTGTCGATCCTCGTCTTCATGTTCAGTAGCTGATTCATTGCGGTTCAGCCTTGCATGAGGTGGAAGCTCAGATTCTGGTAGAAATGAGGTCTCTGTACCCGTTGTGCCTATGATTAACTTGTTATTCTTCAAGTCTATCTGACACTAAAATTAGAAAGACATTTTAATATCAATTTCAGTAAATTCATATTAAAACTAGTATTGTCATTGGCATGCCACACCACTGTCTGACCAATCAGAACTCGGGACAGCCATGCAATATTTTACAACAGAGTATGACTTTGGAAAAACATTGACCGTGTATGAAAAACTATAAATATAAATTAAGGTCTCAGTTTAAGGAGTGTCCAAAAAATACCTAGTACATTTAATCGCTTACAAATCAGCTAGACCTGGGCTAAAATACATGTACCTTATTGCAGCACATTTCGTACCTGATGGCGTTTAAGCATATCTAATCCCAGCAACATGTCCATGGGTTGGTCCTCTAATATTGAGAATGATGACTGGAGAAACACATCCCCTATTTTGATTTGACCTACAACATACATAGAAATAGTGCATTATTCTATATTGTATCATTTCTAATCTGACAAGGTTAATTAAATTGGGCTTGGGATCCCAATGGAGTATTTGTAATATCAAAAGAGATGCTTGTGTACTTTGTACTACATTCCCAAACAAATGCCAGTTCTACTTGTTACTCCTCTCTAATTTTGAACTAATCTATTCAACATTCATGAAACATGGAATATTTACCTAAATGTACCCTGCCTATAATTTTCTGAGTTCCTACACCTTTAGCCACACCAGCCCACCTTCTGTCTACAAGTCTCATAATGTTACATCTTTCTGCACATGCTTGAGACATTATAGTCATCTGGGCCCCTGTAAGTCAAGCATTGTATTTTTACATGTATAAAATGAGCAGAGTAATTCATTTTGTTATCAACAGTTGATTAATTATTCTCAGTTATTTCAATTGTACACCCAAAATGGGCAAACTTTAATTTTAAGATGTCCTAGTGGTTCTGTGTGACGAGATATAACAATGTTACTGCTATTGATACATGTAAAACAATCACCCCAGAGTTCAAATAATAAGTTATCTGTTGAACGTTTGGCATTGAAATCCAAAAATAGGACCCACGGTCCTGTGCTCACACAGTTTGGAACCTTCAGAGGAATGTATATCCTGACTTTAAAACAAAAATATTGATTTGGATTTGTAGTCTCGAACTTTGAGAAATAAACTTTGATAGCACAGTTGTGTGACCTAGTTTGATGACCTTTGACCTTGAAAATTTTACTTATTCAGAGCTCAGTAAGGTCTTTTGTGATTAAGCTGACCAAAATTTACATCCAAAAATCAATTTGAAAAATCAACTTTTTTGACTTTTCGAAGGTAACTGAAGGTCAAGTAAAGGTCAAATCCTAAAACTAATGTCAGATTTGAGCTCCTGGCAACTTGTAGATGATTCTCCAAAAAAAAATTGGTCAAATTGAAGCAAGTTGAAAATAACTTATTTTTACTGTTTTTTGACGTCAAATATCTCAAAAACTGTAAAAATGTGATGCTGACATATATTGGCAATATGTAGGGAATGCTTAAATCTAGTAATGATGTAATTCATTGCAAGAAATGATCAAGTATAAGGCAAACTTTGAGAAACTTGTCAATCACAAAACCCATTGACTTTATACATGAGAAAGTTTCCTGAAAATGACTAAGTCCTACTTTTTGCCAAATTTTATAGAGTAAACACCAAAAACTGTAATTCAAAGAGCTTTGAAATCTTCAGGGGACATAAGTTGCATATACAGCAACTACTAGAAGTTATTTGAAAGTTCTACTTCAACAAAGTGTCTAGTATTCACAGAAAATTTGACTTTTAGACGTCAAAATCTGTAATTTCTCGGAAACCGGGCGAACTTGGGAAATGACGATGATAGGTCAAATAGGCATTATGGATATGCATAAAATGAATGTGGGTACGACTCAATCCGAATAGCAGTTTTAATTTGTGCGGCCAATGTTGACGGATGGACCAACGGACGGACGGACGCCTGGTCGATCCCATAGGCTCACTGTGTGAGCCAAAAACACCTAATAAATCAAAAAATTATACTCTGATATGGGATGTGAAATTAATAATAACAATAACCAGAGTCAGCATGATCAACATATAGAATTTTATTGTTCCAAGAATATAATATTCATTCATAGACTTTGAAATCCTTTCTTGTGGCTTTTTCAAAAATTGAACAAATGAATAAGTGATTTTTGAGTGCGTTATCTATTACCTTCCATTTGGTGTGAATTTCATCGAAATCTGAGCAATAATGAAGGAGATAAGGGCCAAACACTGAAAAGAACCTCTAAAAGTGGGCGTGGCTTATTTACTTGGTTACCATAGCAACGCCGCCGCGGATTCAGAATTGCCAACATCATTTTTCTTGGTAAGTATCACATATAGTTCATAAAAATTATGCCGCTTAGCTCGCCTCTAAAAAGGACACGGAATTATCTTTGCTCCTATACTATTAGCTAAATACAAACCTGAGTCTACAAATGCCTTGACTGCGTGGTTGTTTACGATACAATCAATGTACAACATTACAACTTGTCCAAAACTTTCTGGTGAATACTCCATGGCAGCTTCCATGTTTGAGTCAACATTCTTCATGCTGAAAATATTGATAATCATTAAACTATGTAAGGAATACTAAATGTGACTTCTGTAGACTTAAAATGACTTCAATAGTCCACAGAGCATAATAAGAAAAAGCCAGTGAGGAATAAATTCAACCTCAACATGAACTTTTTTTACCCTATGTCATAATCTACTGGTAAAACTCTGAAAACACTTTTCTATCACATACATGTACCTATTTTCCAGAAACATAGAGATTTTGAAACATGTATTAATTTCTGTAAATGTAGACATCTCTCTATCTCTGATTCTATCTTAATGAACTGCATAGCTTTAAGTATCTTACCGTATTTCTTCAGCAATAGCTTGTTGGGCCGATGCATCAAAAGGATCAGCTGTCAACAATCGAATCCTGTCTCTTTCTTTATCTGCTCTCTCCTTTTGTTGCTTCTTTAATACCTCGGCAAATTTTTCTGAATCAAAAAAGGCAATTAAAATAATTTTCTAAGAAATTATTTACTTAAGAGTCAGATATCCATCTTCTGTTTGATTTATAATTTTATTTTAGAATTGTTCAAATCTATCTGAAAATCACAATCTTCTTGAAATGTAATGGACTCATGAATATTCACATACTAGAGTACTTTATTAACGCATGTTGCATATACATTATTATCTTGAAGCATTTTGTTCATAATTATGTAATGACAAAATCTAACATGATTAAATCACCTTTATTCCCACTAAGAAGGGCCTCTGCTAATGGTGGATTTCTCTCCTTTAAAATTGATAGCTCATGGGGGTTGCTTAGTAACATTTCTCGGATTGTATCTGGGTCATCTGGCATCTGTTGCTGTTGTCTTGGGGCGGGTGCCCTCGATGGCCCAGCCTGCGTACTGGTTCCTGGTATTTGTATGGCAGAGAAATCTATCCCCATTCCTGTAATAGCAACATATCATAAAATGGTAAAATTGGATGCTTTTACATAAAAATATATTCATTTTCTTCAAAAATTATTATGTCCCCCAAAAAAGAAGCAAACGCAAACCCAAATTCAATGAAATATGAATAACACATATCTCGTCGCCTGTTGTGTAACTTGCCTGCTTGTTGTTGTTGGGCTGGCCTGTTGTTTCGTGTCCGCTGTAAAAGTAAAACTTCTCCATCTCCAATCCCATAGTCTTTCAATGTCTTTTTATTGTCTGGTAACATTTGACCATTCCATAAAATTGCCATTTCTGTTGCTGGAATATTTGCCTCGAATTCTAACAAAGCCTTGAAATTTTCCAATTCTAAATCGTTGGCCACTTCCAGGGGGAAAAACCCACCTTCTAGTGTAGTCACGGTTACTTTCATTACAATAAGTATTCTATATTTTCACAGATATACGTGTCTAAAATGGAAAAATAAAAAAATTGTGAATTTCCTCGACTTCCTGTTTTTGCCTTTGCGCATGCGCATTTGCGTAGTAAGTAGCTTCATGAATATATAAGGAACGAAAGTATAATATTATGGATCCTTTAATGTAGATATCTAAAATTTCCTGCATTTGTCCAGGCCTTACAAATAATAAAGCCTAATCATTTCAAATCTAAATTCAGTAAAACACAAAATATATTTTTTTCTTCTCAAAATACCATAATGGTTTGGTTATTCCGTTTATAACAGTTGACAATTTAGATTAAACTTCAAAAGTGAAAGAATAAAAATAGACCTAGTCAATATAGAGAGGTCTAGTCAATATATAGGTAAGTATAAGTCTAAATATATATTTCAGCAGTATATGATGTAGTGGTCTATATCACACTTATATGAATCAATCAACATATTCCCGGATTTTATGAATAGAATGATACATTCCAAAATAAATTCCAGAAATTATCAGTGATCAGTCAGAGATGGCTTCTAAAAGCTCAAGTAGGATTGACTCCGAGGGTTCTAACTCAATATTTTAAACTCCAAGCAATTTGTTCAGTGCTGATCGTGCCTGCATATTTCTATGGAGAATATTGCTGATATTCTAGCAATAGCGCGGCGACCTTGAGCGATAGTCATATAAATCTGACCGTCGTATGCCGTTATTTGTTGTTATTTTTTCTTGTTTGGATATTTATTTTTTTATATTTTCTCGCATACGATGGTCATATATGCCAAGAAAATGATAAAAAATAAATATCCAAATAAGAACAAGGAACATCAAAGAACAGCATACGGTCGTATTTATATGACTATTGAGCGATGACGTGAAAATGTTGTTTTGTCAGACATTATAACTGTTTTTATGATGATCTCAGCTAAGCTTAGTATCTCGGTCGGTTCCTGTGTATCATGCCCGTAGCCAGCTTTTTGTAATTGGGGCTCGGTGAGGATATAAGCCAAATAACACCAACTCTTATATTTCAGGATCAGCCATGCTATAGACAAGGACACTAGCCAAATAACATGTAACTAATGTGCCAACATGACTCTCCAGGAAGGACTAGTAAAGGCACTCATTGCCTACTGTTTGGAGAATTCATCATTTAAAGAAACCTTGGAGATATTTGGTAGCCTAACTGTTATCTCAGATGATACTAAAATACTTGCAGATATCAATGAGAAATTTCAAAAGGTTGAACCTCGATTTGATATTCAACCACTTGAAAGTGATGAAATTTGCTCTACAGAAACTCTAATATTTAATGGTATTAATACTCCCACAAAACCAAATAAGACTGATGATACTACAACTCTAGTTGATGACAAACATGAGTTTGATACCACTTCCTCAGAAAAACTCCAGAAGTTAGATGTTAACTTCGAAAGCTCTAGTGAACAAGCTGTGCAAAGAAAGAATGGTGGGAAAGGGGGTCGCAGGATTGCAAATCTGAGTGATGAAGATGATCCTATCCCAAAGGATATTGAGGATGAAGTCAATGCTTTAATGATGTAAGTAAATCATGAAGGTGTTAAAAATCCAAGGATGTCAGTCTTGGATTATCGTATACATGTCAATGCAATTTAAACAGGCATGGTTATTGTTAATCATTTATTAGGTGCAACTTAAAATACTGACTTTTACATTAAATCTAGTCCTTCACAATTATGGATTTTTCTCAAAGTGAAAATGGTTGCATTTAGTTGCAATGGTTGCAAGAAAATCATTCAAACCTGCCAACCATTTGTAATGGTTACAAATCATTGAAACACTTTCAATGATTTGCAACCACAATTGCAATGGTTGCATCCCAATGGTTGGCAATCATTACGGCAATGGTTGGAACAATGGTTGTGCAATGGTTTGTAACCATTTGTTTTCGGAATTTCAAGGTCGGAATTTTTATAAGGGTTAAGACTCGACTTTGACAATAAAACTGTAGAATTGTAATTGTTTCACATACTAGTATTCTCTTAAAAGATTTTTTATCAAGTATTGTATTGTTAAAAAAAATTTTTATACTTGCAAATTCTATTGTAGGAGAGATCCAAAAGAAACTGCAATAGAAATCAGCAAATACCTTAAGGATCATGGAATACTACAAATTCGTGTAAAAGATGAAATTGGGGTATCAAAGGCCATGCTTAGCATGCATCTTAATGGTTCAAGCAACATGAGTGCTCCTCTGCGGAAGAAATTATATGCTTGGTATATAAATGATGTGAAAGACAGACTACAAGATAAAAATGAAGGTACTTAACTGGCTTATTGATATACAGGGTGTCCATAAAGTCTTTTTACAGTTTATATAGACTTTGTATTGTAATAGTAAAGAGATTTTCTGGACACCCTGTATATATCATTCATTTGATAGAAAAAGATTGAATTTCATATATTTGATAAAATTATATGAAAAAACTTATTTTGGTTATTGAAAGAAAAAGATGGTTATATATCCATGGTAAAATCAACAAATCCATAAATATTACATAAACAGTTATACATAAACAATAATGCTCTCAGTTTCAGCTATTTCAAAATTTAATTTATGCCGCACTCCCATTTTTGTTTAGTTATAGCTACATTTACCAAACGAAGTAAGAGAAAGGCAAAAAAGCCAAGGATAAAATGGAACCCTGGTCAATTGAAATATCTTGCTGAAAAGCTCAAGTTGAATCCCTACCCTGGCCATGCAGACCTCACCAACTTTAAAAGTGCCCTGAATACACTCAAAGAAGATGAACAAGATGACGAGGTTGACAAAGACAGTGTCTATAATTGGTTCACTAATGCCAGGAAACAACACAAGTTTAAACCAGGTATGTTATTCTGATGTGTGCAAATTGCAAGATGAGTTGTTCAAAGTCAGGATGTAAAAATAAGTGAGGTAAATGTTAATAGGCAAGACCATGGGCTTTCAATAGATGTCTATTGAATGCCCATGGCGAGACATGCTGTATTTGTCAAACGTTTTAATATGGCGAATAAAAAAATAGCAAAATTAGATGGTCATCAAAATCCCTGAGAATTCAACTTGTTTTTCATTTGGTGAACTTCCGGTTATAAGTTGTTTAATTAGAGCATTTTAAATTGCTCACCAACAACAATCAATTAGGCGGGAGAGTAAACCACCAAATTAAATAGACGCCAATATGTCCAATCTCCCAATATCGCTAAATTAAGTTGCACCAAAATAAAGACGAATACAGTATTTGAAACAGTGAGGGAAATTAAAGCTTCAAGGGATTTTTTGGAAACATTTTGGTGGGAAAATTGCTGTACTCTAGTACATTTACAAGTCTGAGAATTTGTAATGTTGTATTTCAGTTTTATGCAATGATGTTGATAATGTCAGTGTTGAAACCAGGAAAAGGATGTTGAGTGATCATGGTCCAGCAGATAGTCCCATTGTTCAACATGTAATGCCAGAAAAAAGCACTGAGGACAATCACAACATGCAAATTAATGAAGAAATTGAAGAAGTGCCTGCTAAAAGTAGTGATATGATTGACTCCAGCAAAGAAGGTAAGCATTATATTTTAATAACTCTTATTTCATGCACATGCATGGGTTTCACTAGAATTTCAAACAACAGGATAAATAAATGAAAACAACAGGCAAAATTAATGGAAATCATAAATTTGACATGGAAAACTTGTAAAAGTCCCTAAAAACAACAGGCGATTTTGTGAAAACAACTGGTGAAAATCGCCTGTTGACTGCTGCTAATGAAACCCCTGACATGTGTATTGTGTAGATATGCATTTTTCTGCACCTCAAAGTGCAAATCTGCCATGTGAAACTTCTGCACTCTAACTATTTTTTCTCAAGAAAGTAACCAGTTTATTGCTATATTGCTTTAATCTTATTATGAATATCAGTTTCAATCATGAGATTGTTACTGAATTTTTGACTCATGTTTGACTCATCAAATAAATCGATCTTCACTCATTGCAGTTAAAATGTGTTAGAAACCTTAGATGTCTTCATTTTCACGCTGTACAAATCATGAAATTTGCAAAAATTCTGTGAAACTAAACAGGACATAAAAATCTATTTTCAGATATAAACCAAGGGCCTCAGGAGTTAAGTGCAATCGATTCTAAAGCCGAGTCTCCTGGGATAGAAACATCTCAAGTTATCCCTGAAAATCAACCAATTTTCAATGAAGATGATCTTCCCCCAAGCTGGCAAACTGATATGAACATTACATGCCCTGTGTGTGATAGAGAGTTCGCAACTATGAGGCACTACAACCAACATATAAGATCTGAAAATGTTGACCTAGTCTGTGGAATATGTGGTTTTGAAGGCAAATATTTAGAAAATCTCAAAAATCACCTCCTCTCTCATCTTGATTTGAGCATGACATGCATTGTATGTAAAGAAGCCTTCACAGTTAAAACCAAATACAATGAGCATCTTAAGTCTGAACATCCTAACTCAGTTTGTGGATTTTGTAACAAAGACTGCCATAATTTACCATTTCTGAAAGCACATCTGAAATACCATAAAGAATCTCAAGTGGACAGACAAAGAGATGGTCAAAGGAGGTTCAGGGAGATATGTGTAGTATGTAAGAAGGAGTTCACCGACAGAGTTGAGTACGACAAGCATTTAGGAGAGGAGCATCCAGACAATACATGTAACCTATGTGGCAAGAAGTTCAACTTTATGTGCCATCTCAAGGTATGCATTATACATATCTAGGTTATTCACAGGGAAGGATTGTATATGGGTTTTATCATGAGAGATGTTATCTGATAGAGGAAAGATATCATATCATTCCTCAAGAATAAACCACATAATACACAATTATATCCATTGTTTGACATTTTTATCCCATGATATAAGTTTATGTAAGTTATTATTTTGACCAATTGATGATGCCTGCATTGGTATTAATTTAACTACCAGGCACCAACCTTGGGGAAGGTGTTCTGTCACGGGTGTTCCACTGTGTATATCACAGTGGATGGGGCGTATACAGCAAGAGGTGCTCACTCGGCCGGGCCCGACCTCGCACCCGGCAGGCACTCATCAATCATTTAAGGGGGGTGTAAACGGACTTTAGAAAGTTTTTCCATCAAATCGGAGCAACTTTTATCACATGGGCAATTAGTAAAATGAAAAAATGCCAAAAATGAAAAAATGGGTTGTATTTTTACTTTTTAGAAGTGCTTTTACAATTTTAGTTAATGTAGTACATGTCTTATTTTTACTCTTTCCAGACTCATCTGAAGAAACATGGTTTTCGTAAAGAGTACAAATGTACAATTTGTGAACGCCAATTTAATTACAACATTAGCTTTAAGGTAAGCTAACCTTACTTTACTATCAACTTAAGATACATTAAATCAACCTCATTACATTTTTTAATATGAATATTGTTAGATTCAGACTGCTCAACCATTTGGTGTAGTGCATAATGTAATAAAAACAGCGATTTACCCATTTAAATTTTAATTATATCAAAAGAAGACAAATACTATTTCAGGTCTCATTTGAAATAATGTAGGATAAAGAATATATAGAGATTATCCCATATGAAATTTGGGATATAAGCTATATCCTATCCCCTGTTGAAAATACAATTACCAGACCTGCTTTACATCCCCCAAACAAGTGTAAGTATTGATTAAGATATTATTGCCATTTTTAAGGTAGGGTTGTTTATTTTTTGTCTATTGTTTCAGATTCACATGATGACTCATACCAACTTGCGTCCATTCTTGTGTGACTTGTGTGGCAAATCCTTTTCTACCAGACAACAACTCTCTTTTCACAGTCTGGATCATACAGGTAAAATAACATACAACTTGCTAGATACAGATTCTGTGATTTTGGTACATCGAGGTATCATGATAAACCATCAGATTTCATTTCTTCTCACGTATGAGATACCTTGATATTTTTAGATTTTGTGATCCAGGACAGTTCAGATTTTAAATACAAGTTTTTTGAAATCTCCACTCATATTTCAACTATTTGGATTCCTAAAACTTATTAAAATATTTCAGTATGAATATGACAATGACAATACATTATATGGAGGTTATTTATTGGGAGAGATTCAATATGTGTTTTATTCCCAAAGAAATATCATGTTATCATGTAGTAAATAAGCTTTTTATTCCATGATATTCATGACTCTCTTCATAAAATCATTTGTTCAAAATCTATATCTAATTTTTGTATAACTTTATGACATTTTGAAATAACATAACCACGTCAACATTAAAAAATTTAACAATACATATATTATTCCATCACAAGGCATTCGCATGTTGCTCAGACATTCTATGAAGTTGACTGTTTGTGTCAGACCATGATGATGAAATTACAATTCACCTATGTTAAATAGGCTTACAGTCTTCATACTTCTTACATTTCAAAATCTCTATTTTCAATTTTTGTTTGGAAAATATCATTTCTCACATAAGAAATCATTAAAGCATGCTACATTGACCCAACTGAATGTAATAGGAAACTTTGTTTGGCAAAAATTCTCGGGAGGTGAATACCATTTTCATGAGCAGGATTGGGAAGTGAATATGATTTTCGTGAGGGGGATAGGACGGGACAATACGATTTTTTCTCAATATCAAAAATATTCACAGGTGTTATCATGGGATAAGTTAATATATTGTATGTGCATCTGTATGTTGTAGGTGAAAGACCCCACAAGTGTAAGATCTGCTCCAAGCGGTTCAAAACTCGTGGAAATTTGAAGATACATCAATTCAGTCATTCTGAGGCACGGGAATGGATCTGTCAGACATGCTCTAAAGCATTCAAGGTATTTTTAGAATTCAATTGGCGTGAAGTATTTGTATTAACTCCAAGACGGGATTCATAACTGTATTAATTTTCTAAAGCATTGTGATGGTTTCAACATGATGATGTACTTCCAGACGAAAGCCCATCTTGTTGGGCACATGTTGAGCCACAAGGATGCATACGACCACCCTTGTACCAAGTGTGAAAAATCTTTCAAGACATCTAATTGTCTTAAGATGCATCTTAATAGACATGAAGCTAAGAAACGTTTCCCATGCAAGGTAATATAATATAATATGTTGTATTTTAAAGGTTTATTGTCAAATGTTAGTATTTGGTGAAGTAAATTCATGAATATTATTGGAAGTAAAGATTTAAACTAATTTGTATTATCATTGTATGTACTATTCTATGCTCACTTAATGTGGTTGGAAATAAAGAATATAAAGTACTACAATGGATATGGCATGGGGGAACATGTTTCGGGAACAATAGTACTTGGGCATACTGTATAGTACATCTGTAAGACAGGGTTCCTATAGACCTGCAAATCAGTCACAAAAATCTATTTTTCCATTAACTGAAAAGTGGGAATGGGAATTTTGAAAAATACAAAAAATGTCAGTAAATGCTAGAACTGGAACAATGAATTTAAAAATCGGTAAATAGTCTGCTTATAAAGCCATGGCTTATCGCTGTTGAGTGAAGCAAAAAATCTGGATACAAATATTTTTACAAAGAGAATAAGAAAAAAAATGTCAGGGAATTTTATACAGAACATGTTTTGGGAACCCTGTCTAATTGTAACGGATTCTTGGGATGAAGAATATGTGTAGCTAGAGAAAGAAAACGTAATGTATTAAATTCTAAGAACTAAATCATCCCAGTTCTCAAAGTATTTCACAAAAAACTAGCAAATCAAAGCTGTCATATTGATCTTAGGATATCTATGGTCAGTTAATGTTATAGGTTTATGTTATAGGTTTGTGGCAAGTTGTTCCAAACAATGACCAACTGTCAGACTCACACCAAGTCGGTCCATACAGATGCTTTACTGAAATGTCCCCATTGTGATAGGTACTTCAAGACTGGGTAGGTGACATATATTAGTGTTATGCTAACATATATTAAGGCAGATATTTTAAGGCTTTATATAGTTTACCCATTTCAGAATATAATACAAGACAAAACATCAATGAACATTCAATGGCATGTTGAAAACAAAGGTTTTTATCAAGCAAAAGTTATCACAGTCATAGCTGAGGAGGTTTGGAGCAATTAACATGGAGAATGTTATTACGCTTGTTACCATGAAATTCTATTTAATAATATAATATTGCTATTATTCTGTGTCCCTTGTTTCACATAGCTTTTATGAATTTCAGTTCTGGAATGCGACGTCATCAGCAGCTAGAGCATAATGATGGCAACAAGCCATTTATGTGTCAGTTTTGCGGCAAGGATTTCCCCATCAAAGCCTACCTCATGGTGAGTACAGATTGTGAATGTACAGAGTACATGTGAGTACAGATTGTGGAAGTTCAGAGTTAACATGTGAGTACAGATAATGAATGTACATAGTACATATGTGACTACACATAGTTGATGTACAGAGAGTACAGAGAGGTCATGTACAGAGTAAACACATGTTAGAGCAGACATTACATGTACAGAAAAAAAGATGTGAATACAGATTGTAAATGTACAGAGTACATATATGAGAACAGATATTGAACGTACAAAGTACACACTTGGGTACAGATAGTAGATGCTCTTAGATATACAGATAGTGGATGTACAGGGTACATATATGAGAACAGATGTTGAATTTAAGAAGTACACATTTGAGTACATATAGTAGATGTTTTCAGCATTGTGAGTGTGGAGTGTATAGACCATGAATATACAGAGTATATGATCCAAAAGGGGATTTCTGGTTGCGAAACTTATAAAGGGGAGTGTATTTACCATATTTATCTTTTAGAACAGTTCTTTTATCATGAATTTTACCTCTTTATTTCCAGTCTCACATCAAGAGCCAACATGATGTGTCTGACTGTATTGATGATGCTACAGAAGCTCAAGAGTTTACTCAGTCCATGTTAAAACAACTAGCTGACAAGCCTGAAGTGGAGGACACCATCAACACTCAAGAATATCAAGATTTCAACTATGAAGCCACGGATGGAACTGGTACTATAATGACACTTAAAAATGTACCTCAGCAGTTCATCACCAATTCGGAACAAGCTAATGTTGAACTCGTTGTGACTCATGAGCCTGAAGTTCAGAGTGATGGTCGGGATAATCTAGCTGAAGGATTTGATTACCAAGACCATCATGTTTTTCCGCAGTCTGAGGATTATCAGGGCTCTGTTCAATTGGACAGTCGGAACAATGTAGGATCAATGGTTGTCATTGACAGCAATCTGAAAAGTGATTTGAATATCAATGACACGGTGACAATTATATCTCAGCCATCTTTAGAAGTGGCTCCACCTGTTGTATCTCAAACACATCACATGCTGCCATCTATTGATAATGTCCAATCAAATCCATCCCATAATATGTTAATGCAGTTGAGAGTGCCTGGGATGGATGAAACTACACTCTCAGACTCAGGTCAGTCAGGGGCTGTACAAAGCACAAGTGGGGATCAGACTATGCAATATTTACTTAATATTCCCCATACAGCTGCTAGTCAGGTTCAAACTCCCCTGGAAGAATTTGCTACACATGTTTTGATGCCAAATGTGAGGCAACACTTCCAGCAGATGTAACTTTTGGTACAGATTTAGCATATTGTTATATCGGTGCATTGCCTCTGACATACCCTGGCATGTTTGTCAAACGATATTTCTATAGTCAGAAGTGACCATCACACACACACACCCAACGGGAAACATAAAATTCACCACCTTCAAATTTAGTGCTCAGTTTATCAGTTTGTCATATGTCAATATATTGTTAGTTATATCTTGGTAAGAAACCCAGGGAAATTGATTCATTGACATAATTCATTATTGATGTATATCAAAGTAGAAATACTTGATGGACCAACGTGCAGTATTAGAGTGGGAGGGGTGTTTAATGCATTTACTGAACTATCCTTTGAATGAATTAACCCTTTTAACCTGCTCAAAATCCTCAACTAGATGTCTAAGTGTGTTATGGGGAAATCAAAATAATAACAAAAGATAGATATGGTTACAATGCTGAATATGGTAACTAAATATGTATGTGTACAAGGAATGAAATTGAATTGTTGTAATGTGTATTTTTAGTACTATTTACATGAAGAATGGGATGTTGTTAAATTGATAAGTTATAATTGTTTGCATGCATTATTTGTAATGAATATACTTTTAAAAATTCTTTGATTTATTTGCGAATGTCTGATTGCTCAAATAAAATCAGTAAGTTTGTCCCTTACTACACCTTAGCTTATTGCATCAGGCTAATAATTTTATTTACTTGATATTCCACATACAGCTGCAAGTCAGGTTCAGACTCCCCTGGAAGAATTTGCTACACATGTTTTGATGCCAAATGTGAGACAACACTTCCAGCAGATGTAACTTTTGGTACAGATTTAAAAGATAAAACTATGTTGTATCATTATTTTGGCTTGTCATGTCATGATCTGTGTACTGCGTGTGTCATGAAAAATGTCCAAATTTTCTCTGCTTGAGACACCGCTGCTGAAAATATAGCATCTTTCATACCATACAATATGTACCCTTCAAATGTCTCAACACAATTGTAGTTATTGCACTAGGAAGAGCAAGACATGACTCACTTAGACTGTCGGAAAACTCACTAGGAAGAGCAGGACATGACTCACTTGGACTATCGGAATACTTTAGCTAACTGACCTCTTAATATTGAAGACAATACAAACGTTATAACAGAGGGAACAATGTTTTTGTGCCTCTGTCCGCCCTGTGTTGTATATGTCATGTATATGTCATAAATTCTTTATAAAATTGAAACAATGTCTTGCATTAAGACACCCCATAATGTATAATATTACTGCGATGACTGTAGTATTATTAACAAAAAGTAACAAACTTCACAAAATTATTCCCGGGAAAGAAACTAATTGAATTTCGGAGGGACATTTCGCCTAGTGTAGGGCACCTGCATGACGTCATCACTAAGGTAACGATAAGGCCAAGATGGCGGATTAAATCAGAAAAATAAGTGAAATTATTAGAAAAGTTCATTATGCCAGGTAAAAAAAAGCTCAAAAAGAAAAAGTCGTCGAAATCTAAAAGCAAAGAAGGACATGATCCAGTCGCTCCGGAATATTTAGATGCTCCTGTGAAGCCAGGACAGAGAGTGAGTTTCTTTTATATCTTGAAATTTTGATTTTCTGGACATGCTGATTTCAAACATCAAAGCACAGGGGCTTGTCTCGAGGCGTCGGGCAAGCCCTCCGATGAGTCTACTGCTTATTAATAGTATTAAGGGTGGTCGGTTTTGATGCTACCTGAAATTTGTAGAAAATGATTGTTAGATATATCAAGTAAAAATATATGGAATCCTTTCAATAATCGACATGCTGATTCAAACAACACTAGTCTACAGAGTAAACTTACCTAAAATGGTAGCAATCCATCCACTAGTTGCTGAGATGTGTGAAGAACATGTAAGGAAGTGATTAAATTTAATTGAAAATGCAAAACACGACAATTTTCACCCTCAAATTGTTAGCTCCAGAGTCAATTTCTTCCTCAAGACACGTCCACTGTTAAAAATCGGTAGTTTCTAGAGTTCTTTGTTTACTGAGGTTCATTTTCGTATATTATTTTTAACGAAGGACAGCCTATAACGACTGCTATACGCAAAATAGATGCATGAAATTACAGGGCAAAGTCAAAACTAGTGTTGTTGCGATCATGGGCTTTCAATTAGATACACGCGATATTCATCGCCAAAAGTGATTCTGGCGATGCATTGATGTTTGAAACAAAACACTGATGTTTTTACAAAAAAATGAATCTGCTAAAATCACCTTTTCCTATCTTATTTTCATGCTAATTTATTTGTCGCATTCAGAATTTTATTTATTTTATAATGGCGGTAGATTTGGTCAGGCTTTTCCAGATGTATATCCCGATGTGCTATTTAAAATTGCCGATGCATCGATTTACGATTATGGCACATTGCGACAACACTAGTCAAAACAGTGGTCAAATGTCCAAATATAGGACCAGTGCCATACCAAATGTCCACGAATTGAATTGATCCAAATCAACCTCAAATTCCCAGGCTCAAATTAAGGGAAATTAATTATCATCTCATACTTCCTTTCCATGTCTCTATCAATATCAATCTTTGGCAGGAGGAGGGGTGAGGCTAGTCTGTCATGCAAATTTGCATGCAAATATTACACTGTATGACCCAAGGTGAAAATCAAACTTAAAGTCATTGTCGTTTCAGCTTGTCGAACTATTGACAACTCACAAAGTTGAAGAGAAAGAGCTTCATGGGTTCAAAGTGACTACTAAAGTTCTTGAGCAGTTAACTCCACAAGAGATTAGAGACCTCAAGATTGTTTTTGACACCTTTGATGGAAATTCAGATGGGTAAGAACATGTTTACATTCTACTTCAAGCTACGTAAATGTACATTATTTAGTGTACATATTCAGATTCATACACTATATGACCTGAAATATCATTGACAAAAATGGATGACCACAGGCCTGTATTTGATTTAATTTACCAAACACTAGATGTTTTGCTTTTTTATTTTTAATTGTTTATTAGTGTGTCATTTAACTTCATTTCCAAAGTTTTTTAAACATAGATAATGGTTAAGAATGACATGCAACATTTGCATTATTCTTAATATAAGGTGAAAGGGACCATCACATATAATATTTATATATTATATATTTCTTTTATTGACAATTGTATCAAAACATGACACATTAGTCTTTGTACAAACCAGGCTGTCTTGATTCAAGACAATACTACACTATTAACTAATAATAGTGTTTGAAATTAAATTTACATTGAATATTTGATCCATGATATTGACCTACATGTATACATCAGCTATTGAATTTCTAATTCCACAATGGGATAGACTTTTGACACCCTTGCCACCCTCTACAAGTCTATGGCATACATTTGACCTGACAACATTAGAGTATTGTCGTATTGATAATCATTTAGATCAATAGATGAGAGTGGTACAAATTTAAGTTTCATGAATCCTGTATTTCAGGTACCTGAATGTAGTTGAGTTTAGGAAGGCATTTAAAGTACTAGGGTTCAGGATCAACAAGAAAGTTGCCAAACAAATGGTTACCGATGTTGACTTGAGGAAAAAAGGGTAAGATATTTATTCAATGTTTATAGTACTCGATATCCTTGCATAATTATTATGCAAAAAAGTATTACTCCTAATTGTGCTGCTGGCCAAGTGCGGATTAACTGTTAATTATTCATGTTGCTATGACAATTAAATGAACAAACTTATGTTCATTTCAAAACATCACTCTCCTCATGTGTCTGCCCTAATTGTCAAGGAAATGTGTAACGTTTCAAAATATAGTAATCTCCTCTTCAACTGGAAAACAATGTAATTGTATAAAAGAGAAAAATATATTCCATACAAGGTACTCAAAAATAAAACATTCATATTAATTTTGAATTAAAAATATTCAATGGTGTCAAATGACGATATGCTGGATATGGCCCTAATCATTTGTTCAAAATTAATCAGATACTTAAACAATCTCCTTAATTGTTTGTATCTGTTATTTGTTCCAGTGCAATAGAATTTAATGAATTCTTAGAGTTTGTTATTGAGAGGCAGATGGACTCCAGAGATGTTAAGGCAGAGATCATGCAGGGCTTTGATATGTTTGACTATGGTAAGTTTAATGAAAACACTTACACACTTGTGTGTACATATTTTTATATAACATTTATTGACATTTTGAAAACCATTTGAAATATTCAAAGTCTTCTTTTGTACTAACCAACTAAAATCAATGTTTTTCTGAATAGAAAATAATTGAATAATAAACATTCCTAAATGCCACAGTGTGGTAAATCAGTGATGTGGATATATTTGCAAAATTTCTCAAAACAGGTGCTTTGGTAAAAACAAAATCAAAGAACACTGCCTGTTGACTGTTACTACTGTTTAGGGGTTATAATACAAACACTGTCTTGTAGGTCTTATTCAAAATTATATCAACTTCAATGTTCTACTTGCAGATAAGCAGAGCAAGATCAGTATGGACAATCTGAAACAAGCATGTAGAGAGACAGGTGTTAAGTTCTCTATACAAGAGTTAGAGGAGATGATGGAAGAAGCTGATGCTAATGGAGACTCATTCATAGATCCAGCAGAATTTGAGCGTGTAATGTTACAGACTAACTTGTTTTACTGATTGCTCAACATTGAATGGTTCATACATTAGTGTCCTGGATCTAGCCCTGGCCTTTATTGAGTAGGAAGAATTCAATAAATTGGACTGGGCTTGTGTATTCATACCTGCCAACCTAAGACCAAAATTTTGCGGTAGATTTTTTTAAAATTGCTGTATTTTTGCGGTAGATTTTTTCAAAATACGGTAGTTTTTGCGGTATTTTTCAACAAAATTGCGGTAGTTTTTGCGGTAGATTTTAGAAAAAAACGGTAGTTTTTGCGGTAGATTTAAAAAAAACGGTAGTTTTTGCGGTAGATTTAAAAAATACGGTAGTTTTTGCGGTAGATTTTAAAAAAATACTGTAGTTTCAGAGGTTTGGGGTAGATTTTTGAAAAAAGTGTAATTTTGCGGTAGAAATTTGAAAAAAGCGGTAGTTTTGCGGAAGATTTAGAAAAAATGCGGTAGTTTTACGGTAGATTTTTAAAAATGCGGTAGTTTTTACGGTAGTTTTTTGAAAAACCGGTAGTTTTGCGAAAGATTCTGAAAAAATGCGGTAGTTTTACGGTAGATTTTGAAAAAATGCGGTAGTTTTTACGGAAGTTTTTTGAAAAACCGGTAGTTTTGCTGAAAATTTTGAAAAAATGCGGTAGTTTTACGGTAGATTGTGAAAATTGCGGTAGTTTTTACGGTAATTTTTTGAAATACCGGTACTTTTGCGGAAGATTTTGAAAAAATGCGGTAGTTTTACGGTAGATTTTGAAAATTGCAGTAGTTTTTACGGTAATTTTTTGAAAAACTGGTACTTTTGCGGAAGATTTGCCAAAATGCGGTATTTTTCGGTAGATTTTGAAAAATGCGGTAGTTAAACCTTTATACATGTACAATGCGGTTTTCTATATTAATACAATGTTTACGTGGTCATATTGTTGTTGTTATTGTGAATACATATTATAGCATTTTTCATGTTGATTCACCGTATTGTGCGGCAACCTTTAATGGGTTTCTTATAGGTTTTTTAGGGTAAGGGATTGCCTTTCATTTCCTATAACTTGGGGGTATTTAAGAGAAATTTTGGGCTTCATTCAGTAGAGAGTTAGATCGGGGGGAACATCACACATCATTTCTTTTCATCTTATTAACCTCATTTTCATTCTTTCTTTATCTTTGAACAGTTTTATTTTATACTGAAGAGTGTAATTGTACATGTTTAGTCTTTTACTTGGAATAAAGTATAGTTTTATGAGTATATTAATTCTGTGTTAATCTTGTCTTTTTTACATTACAAGACCAATCCATATTATTTTATGAAGAACCCACAGAGCTATTTAAACAACAAAGCTCGAAGCTTCAATATTTTACTGCAAGAGTGATTTTGATATTTACAGTTTGTAAAGCAGAACTACCACCTGAGAATTATACGAAACTATTATTTTCAAGAAAAAATAGATATACTATTTTCAAGAATAAATAGAGACTAAACACTTTTTATTCTTCATTTACCATGCCTACAATGGACTGACAGCAACTTTGGATTTTAATGTTTCAGCAAAATGTACATATACAACTTTTTTACAATAAATCTAGATAGATTCAAAATACGAACACAATATTCATATCTCCACTTTTACTCACCTTCTAACCAGTTTTTTAGATATCAGGATGTTTGGAAATTCTATGAATGAAACATTTACTGAAATACAAAATATGGATTTTACACGTTTTTACTCACCATCTTAGATGATCTATCATTTTAACGAATTGAAATGACAGACATAATGTTCATATAACATTGGAATCATATGGTATTAAATATTGATTTGTTCACTCGCAAGTCTCTAATGATATCAATGTGTTTGTCTGGCACAAATAGAAAATAAGTACAGATCAATTGTCTTTCAAAAATAATTTGTTATGAGCATTTGCCGAAACCTTTCCCCTGAGACATAGTTCAGATTCGGATATCACAATACTTTTATAATAAACCAGAACTCAATGCTTTATTTTTTAATTAAGCATTTGTTACTGATAATGTGTTCTGATGAAAAATACAACATTTCCACTCATTTATTTAGATGAAGCGCAACTAAAATCATATTTTTGTTGCATTCGGAATAAAGATCCGTGTACAAAAGGGTTTGGTTAACTACAAAAATCATGGCAGAAAGAATTCTTTCTAGCTAGTGGTAGTTGGTGTTTGGACTGATTACACGCAAGCTTACTTAGATAAATGCGCAATAACCTGATAACCACAGACCTGCCGATACCGGGTTGGTGAAGGAATATTACAGGGACAGTACAGGAAGACTTCAATTTTTCAGCATTTCCCAATAACAATAACGGGAAATTTTACGGTAGTTTGAACAAAAATACTGTTGATTTTAGCAGAAATACGGTAGATTTTCGAAAATTTACGGTAGATTTTCAAAAATTTACGGTAGATTTTCAAAAATTTACGGTAGATTTTACGGCCGTTCTCATGGAATAAACGAGTTTTTTACAAAGAAAATTTACGGTAGATTACGAAAAAAATACGGTAGATTTTTTTACGGGCGTTTTTAAGGGAAAAAATGGTATTTTTTTTACGGTAGTTTGTCATTTTTTTACGGAAAAACGAAAAATTTACGGTAGATTCCCGTAAAAATACGGTAGGTTGGCAGGTATGGTATTGCACTGAAATCTTATCCAAGGAAGTTTGGAGATTTGGTACAGAATTATCTTTGTTGTATCAAAATAAATCTCTTCATGTGCAGTGCTTCTTCCTGTTATAGGGTGACAGTGAACATTACCTTCAATGAGGGAGTGACTTGCTTTGTAGCAGACAATGAACAAAGTTGTCATGTTCAAAGAGAACATTTACAACTGGACTTGTGGCAGGATAGATATAAATGGGAGTCTGACAGGACTGCTATCATTTTTATACATATTTGTGAGATTCACACATCAAGATATATTTTTGAAACTCTTTTGATATTTTGGAGACAATTATGAAGTCAGTGTGTGATGTGAAAATCCATAAATAGATCTCATGAAAGGGGTATTTTTTGGAGGACTTTAGTAAAAAGAACATTTTTCCATGTAAGAGCGTGTGTTCATGCCCCACCTGTTTGTTTCTGTCTGATGGTTCCGGCTCAGAAGGGATAGAGCTTGTTTTTCAAAAAGAATACAAATCATTTCCCTATATTTCCCAATTTTATTTTCTGAAAAAGAATTGAGATATCTGATCAAAATTCAAAGTTAATTGAAAATTTAAGATGCAGAAATGTTTAATTCATAAAGGGGATGTAAACCTTTTCAATTCTTTTTGCCAGATAATATAAATTATCAGATAGTCCAAGGATTATGTTGAAATAATATTGTTGAAACTTTGACAATGTTTGGAAACTTACTCTCACTTAGCTCTATCCCTTCTAGTCCCTTTAACTTTAACTCATAACATCAGTCATAGGCATTGTCAGAGGGGGGGGGGGGGTGTGCAATGGGTGCGACTGTTTAATTAAATATTATTAAATAGTTAAATGTGTAAAGTTGGAAAATCTATGTTTAATCCACCCTCAAATGAAATTAACCTTATGATTGGGTCTCCACTGATGTTTTAATCAGTTTACAGTGATCTCCCTAGCATTGAAGCAAGTGGGTGCAGCACTAGCATGAAAATGAGAAAAATCATGAAAAATGGGCATATTTTGACCAATTTTGGTCTGAATTGTGAAAATGAGAATTTTGCACCCAATTGAGAAAAATCCTGTGGAGACCACTGGTTTATGATGTAAAATCTATTTCAACAATGGCATAAAGTAATTTAATTTGAGTGTATTATTAAAATGATGTCTCGCAGTAGAACCCAAAGGACAATCCTGGAAGAAATCAAACTAGAATTTCTGGTTTAGGTTATTTTATTTTTTACTATTATCAACATTATTCAATCTGTACATATTGTTCTGTACAAAATATTTATACTTGGTTATGTACAATAAAGTTAAATTATTATATTTAACACATAATATATATTTCTCATTTCATAACAATAATATATAATGCACTAGTATACAATATACTGCAATAATAGTTTACATAAGTTTTATAACATTCATCCTTGTGAGGCAAATAAAACTCACTTTCGATACAATTATGACACTACTATACTAAACCAGTACATGAATTGATGCACATCCAACAAATTATGAAATATTGGTAAAAAGCTTGTTGGGGTCAATAATAATTCAATTTAGACCAATAGATTTCTAAAATACTAATGGCCCACCCTGTATGCATTTGAAAATGCACTACCAACAATTCTTACAATGCCTGCATTTCTGATTAATAGATATACAGATTATAAATCTGAAGCAAATGCACATTATGAAAGAAAACAATAAAAGCATTAACTTTTCATAAGCTCATGACTATCATACAAACAATGAATGCCATTGAGGGAAATAGGGCAAATAATTTTTCCTGAGGGAATATCCTGTACACTGACATGTTCCCAAGGCAGCAGACTGAGAGGGAACATGTCACTGGACAGGATATTCCAGAGGGAAAAATTTGACAGTCTTAGCTTTAAATTTCAACATTTGTGTTGACAGTAGTATAAAATATACTGTATTTGGCCAACTAAACTTCTCCATGGAAGATGAAAAGTAATATTGACTGGTCACACGACATAGTACTATTAGTACTATTTCATGTCATGTGACTATAAATACGCCAATGGGCTTCTGGAATACATTTGGGGTATATAATATACAACTAGTGACATATCAGTGGACAGGATATTCCCTTAGACTAACATTTTAGGTATAACGGTCTCAGATATTCCTTAGTGAAAAATAGACTGTATTTCTCGAAAATTCGACAGTCAAAATTTATTTTATTGTCTACCCAATATATATTCCAAATAAAATGGTATAGGAATTTTTCCAAAATAGCTCAGATTATTTCTGTCGAGTTTGCATCACAACTGGTTTGTCCATGGTACTCCTCAAAATGTTCTTTGTTGCCACAGTCGATCGGTCAAATCGTCTAGAAATCTTAATTGTTTTAAAACGATCTCGGGCAGCCATATTTGTCATCTGTTGAAGTTTGCAGAGATGATGCAAAATCAGCGATTTAG